GGGAGGAAAGACTCTAAAGTTTGTTTTTACTTGACATTAGTAAGAGTAAGCCTTTTGCCTTTAGGGGAAGAAAATACATGTTCTGCAATTTAGGCCTATATCCCGAGGGACTGTTTAGACCAGAGACCACATATTAAAGGTTAAATTTCAGTGTAACTTCTTGGGACAAACATCTATGGACAATAGTTATTATATATCTTGTTTTAGGAAAGGAAGGGAAGGAGGGAAGGAAGATAGAAGGAAGCTGTCCTTTTTTTTTTTTTTTTAGAAGGAAGCTGTCCTAAAGATGTCTTAAAAGGATTATTATAACCAAAGGTTGACATTCTCCCAATGAGAGACAAAATATCCAAAACCTCCTTGACCTAAGTGAAATCCAGGGGAGCAATCCATTTTAAGACACTCATGTATGCACTGGCTGTCATCAAGGTAGCAGGTATGTGATGGTCTGGTTTTAGCATTTAATTCCATGATGCACTTGCAGATTTGGGTAAAGATATTAAATTTGATTCAACTGGTCTCATTTAACAGCTTATGTAAAAAAGCTTCAATTCACCTTTTTCCCATTTGTTTTGCTTCAGCACTTCCATTACCAAGTAGGTCTGATTGTACTGTCACCCTCACACTGGATGTATGGATAAATATAGTGGGAAATAATCACTGGGAGGGAAATTAAGGTTTGGGTCATACATCAACTCTGCTTAGTTGGCATCCAAACACATAATTCACATTGTTGAACAGACTCCAGTGATTGCTTATCCATTACAGATCAATTGCAGAAAAGGCTGTAACATTATTAGAAGCATAATTTAGGAATCCTTTAAACATTTAGGATTTAAACCTCATGTACTAAATAGTCAATACATAGTAATTAACCCATGTGTGAAATTAAATTCAACCCTCAGGGATATTTATATACATGTTGTTTTCAATCCTACTTGAAGCCTTTCTAAACAAACTATATGCTAAAGGATCAAAAGGCAGTTTTAACCAACCCTGCTCCAAACCGCCACCATCCTATCCTAAGGAATATCACCTTACCATTCATCACCTGCTTAATATAAAACATCCAAATGTATATATCCATAGCTCATTAAGAAACTCATTCATCCAATATTAGGCTGTTAAAATTTTATAATGTACTACCCGTTAACATGTACAGTCATTGAGCATTTGAATAGTTTTCTACTTGTCTGTAGCTGCTCAGAACCTACTGCTACTGCAATCAGCATTCCTATTTGATCACATAGTATCCGGTGAGCTACCTGCAGAAAATGTCTTTCTCCCCCCCCACCCCCCTACCCCCACCTCCCTCACTCCCCCCCCCTTATCTCTAAGAGTCATCTTATCAAGATAGAGGGCCAAGAGAATGAGGATGATGCTGTGAAGTCCAGCAAAACTAAGGCAAGAGTTTTCAAATCACAATCTTATAAACAAAGGCAGGAAAGGTTTTCGCATGGGAAAAAATCGCTGGCGTCTTGCCAGCTCTAAAATTTGTAAGGAAATGTAGAGGTCACCTCACCCACACTCTGATAACAAACTCATACATAAAGCTTTGTCATTCAAATGTAAAACTTTCTCCTGTTAGAGAGCAGAAGAATCCACATATCTCCTATGAATGTGCATTGAGTTCTGTAGAATTTAAATCCACTAGTCAAGATTCCCTAAGTTTTGCAAAAGGCCGCGTAGGTGTGAACCAAGAACAAAAGCAGAGAGTTCTGGCTGCGAAAAAGCAGCTTTTTGGCTTTACCTCCTCCTTCCTTTGGATCTAAAGTCTGGAAGAAGAAGGTTAAGAGTAAGGCTAATAGGCGCTTGGCTCACTCCGGGTCTTGAAGAAAGGAGTGTCTTGAAGGAAGGCGTTCAAAGAAAGGTCCAAACACTCTGAGCTTGAGCAAGGATATCGCTTGGGAGCTCCATGGTCCAGTTGCCTGTGGAGCTGCTCCAGGCTGGGGCGGGATGGGGGGCGGGGGGAGCGCTTCAAACCCTCACCTGCTGGGGGCAGCCCCGGGGGGAGGGGGGTGCTCAGCGGTTTAGCCCCGCCTTTAGCCCAGGGCCTGATCCTGGAGATCTGGGATGAGTCTCATGTCGGCTCCCTGCACGGGGCCTGCTTCTCCCTCTGCCTGTGTCTCTCATGAATAAATAAATAAAATCAAAAAAAAAAAAAAAAAAAAAACCTCACCTGCTAGAATACATGGTCGGCTGTTGAGTCCTGCTTCATCCCGTTGCCTCGGGGACCTCACCACCACCTCTTCCCTCTGTGTCCCCTTTCTCAGTCAAGTTTACTCTGGGCTCTAGAAGCATTAGAAAAATTCAACTAATCCTTTCTCTGCCGTAAGAAATTGATAACTTACATTCTCATTTCATATTCATAAATTCAGTCTGTTACAAATACATTATGTCTTATCACCTTTACACCCAATGATGCATGCACATAACCATGCTTGAAACTGGGGAGGGCCATATAGGCATTATCCATAGTCTGGGGAGTCTAGGTTTTGGTGGGTGAGAACTTTTTAATGTTTTCCAACTCTTATGGTTAAGAAATTACATCTTACGTGTAATTCTACAAGTGAGGTTAAATTCTCCTTTTCCTCTTTTAATGAAATTGAAATTATTTTTCATCATTATCCTTATAAAAATCCTTTCAGCACTTGAACACCTTTTAAGCACCACTGTCTTCCCAGTTGAATAGGTCCAACTAATGTATCCTTTCCTCAATTTTTTTAATACTTAGGTGTAAACTCCTTAGAAATATATCTATTTTAATGGATTCTGACCAATAGGTAATAAGAACTCTCATATTACATACAGACATGTAGCAGTGCTTTTTCAAGAGGAGGAAAATACTGGCTAATGTTTACAAGAGAGCTTAGTGTATGTCCAGTATTATTCTTAGAGCTATACATGGAATCAATTGATTCAATTCCTCAGGAAGTATTATATTATCCCCATTTTACAGATGAGGAAATCGAGGCATGGAATGGTCAAGTAATCTGTGCAAGTTATAAAGCTTGTAAGTGGCTACTGATAAAAAGAGAAACAAACACGGTGTAAATCCATGTCTTTGATAATTTCCTCAACAAATAACCAACTTCTGCTGCAAAGGCTCAGATTCTCCACAGTTGTAATCTCTTGAAATTAAATAATAAGAAAACTAAAATTGAGAGCAGAATCCTTCTCACTGGTCCACACCCATAAAGTCCACAGTTCCAGCATAATATCTAGTTATCCAGTTGTTTACAATACTTCTGCCCTTAGAAATACTTAAACTGATTGTATCCAGAAGTAAATCTGACTAGATTTTAAGTATTTTAATCTTTATAAGTAGACTAGTCTCTAGTTGCCAGAGGTAATTTTGTTTGCAGATACTGTTAATATGTGGTTCTTTCTTATGAGTCTCTCTGCCACAGAGAAAATTGTGTGCAAAATGCAAAGGGAGTAAGTAGGAAAAAATTAAACTCATATCTTTTTAGATGAACTCTATTGGCTAGCGAGACTTTCTAAATCCACGTTAACCTCTTAGCAAATAGATTTTGCAAAAATAAAAAATATATATTTCTCTGAACTTCTCTATAGGGAAATGATAAAAAATGTAAGTAATATGTGATCATGAACAATTAACATTTGAAAGTGAGTTTTCTTTCTTAGTATGAAAAATAAAAAAATCACCCATAATCCTATTCAAAAATTACTACTTAACATTTCAGCACCTTTTATTCCAGTCTTATTTTTTGGCCTATTTTCAAGGCATTGTTAATAAGCTATCTTTGAAAACCTAAGGTTTATCTGAATCCTTTATTCTAGAAGTTTGTCCTCTGGGTATGTATTCAAAGAAAGAGAAAACACCAATTCAAAAAGCTATATATGCACCCCAATGTTTATTGCAGCATTATTTGCAATAGCCAAGATATGGAAGCAGCCCATGTATCCATTGATAGATGAATGGGTAAAGAAGGTATACATTATTAGAATACACACACACACACACACACACACACACACACACACTGGCCTATTAGCCATAAAAAAAGAATAAGATCTTGCCATTTACAACAACATGCATACATCCAGAGGATATCATGCTAGGTGAAATAAGTCAAAGAAAGACAAATACCATATGATTTCACTTATTTGCAGAACCTAAGAAAAACAGAACAAATGAACAAAAAACAAAAACAGAATCATAAATACAGAGAACTGGTAGTTGCTGAAGAAGAGAGAGCTGCGGTAATGAGTGAAATAGTCAAAGGGGATTAAGAGGTACAAACTTCCAGATATAAATTCAGTAAGGCACAGGGATGAAAAGCACAGCATAGGGAATATAGTCAATAACATAGTAGTAACCTTGTATTATGACAGATGGTAACTACGCTTATCATGGTGAGGACAGTGTAATGGATAGAATCGTAGAATCGCAAAAAATAAAAAAAATTTAAAAAAAGAACCGTTGAATCGCTATGTTGCTCACCTGAATCTAATATCAAGTTATACCTTAACCACAGTTCAAAACAAAGAAGAAGAAAAAGTTTGGCCCCTTGTTGTTGTCTCCCTGCCCCCCTGTAATGTATTAATCCCCTTCAAAGGCAATTCAAGGTATTGAAAGAAAAATAAAATTATTTTAGCCACTCTGTTGTTACCTATCCTATTTGGAAAATAAATTCTTCAATTAAAATTAAAGATTAACGAATGATGATTAGTGTGCATCCTCTCGTTTCTGAAGATGATATAGCTATTCTTCGTTGGTAGCTCTCAAAGATGGTATTGAAGGGTACATGCAATAAAAAGTCAAGTTTAAGACGTTTGTAAACCTCTGCTCTCCATCCCTGTTAATGGCCTTCCTGGTGTTAGAGATTTGTTTAATGATCAACAGTGGTTTCTGTTCCTACCACCCAGTCTTTCAGAAACTAGCGTAACAAGTCAATGTTTAACCGGATTCTTTGGGTCTGAAGTGGCAGAGTAGGAGCTAAAGGGACGTCTCCATGGAAACCAGCCTCCCAGGAAGTGGCCAGAGGGTTTACTGTGTGGTGGAATAAAGCTAGAAAGATGCCATGAAGTGCTTTGTGGAGCTGGGATAAAATTCTGACCTACCTTAATTAGAATAAGCTAAATTCAAGGCCCCAAACCACTTCCCTCATGATTGTGCTTTGAATATTACCTTGAAATGGGCCTCAGCCACTCTAAGGCTCACCCTCGGGTGACCAGAGTAGCACCCTTGCAAAACAAAGAGGTAGAGACTCCCTCGGCCAGCCCCGTGATTTTGCATTGAATCAGAATCTGGAAGAGAAGAGTTCCTATTTGTTCGCAAGACTGCAGGACCCGAATAAAGCTTTGGAAGGGCAGCTGCCACCTCTACGAGAGACCTGGTGTGGAAGATACTCTGCAGGTACGTGTAACACCTATCATGAGATTTGTGTATTTGGACCAATGGAAGCTATTGACAGATGTACTTGACTGTCCGTCTCCATAATCATATCAGAAAATTTCTAAATTGCTGAAATGTAAGGGAACATCTTTCAAGCTGCAAGCGCATGTCTGTCAAGTATTCTGGGTACATTAGAATGAGTGTGTAAACTCTGCACCCAAGGGCTTTTTACCATTCCACACAAGAAGGAAAAAATCGTTTGGTTTCAGCTTATAGTGCTTTCAATGTTTACACCTAGCTCTGCCAGATGATTAAAATTATATAGATAAGATGTGATAAATTATGACAATCATATGTTTCAGTTAGATTCTAAATTTAAACCATTCTCTCCAGCACCACTTAGTGCATCAGGCTTTGTTATTTTGAAAGCAACACTTGAGGAGTGAATTCACCCTAATGTGAATTTGGAAACCACCCCAAACAGAATTGATTTATTGCAGTACAGATGAGAGGATGAGTCACCCCCTCCCCAACCCCACATTCTTCATGCAGAATATGAACTAAGTTCTGTCATCTGTAGAACTAAGAGAATTTTTCCCATTATGACTGGAAGCTCTGTGCCTGGAGTGGCTATCAATTATCCTGGAATATTTTATAAGACATGTAAAATTTTTATGACAATCACAATGATAATTAAGCAGAGTTTCTAACTTGGGAAGAGAAATATAAGTATATAATGTATACATATGTTTATGTAGTATATCTGTGTATTTTTTTCTTTATTTATATTCTGGATCAATAACACAAGTAAGTTCCCATTATTAGTCAACTTGACCAGAAAGCTTTATATTCTCTTTTGGTATATCTGGTAGATCATACCCAGACTGATTCTCATAGCTATTCTCTGTAGAACTGACCAGCTTTGACTGGGTAAATAGCCTATTTTTATGTTCTCCAATTTCATAAACATGTGGGGGGGAATTTTCCTCTAGTGAAACTGATTCTAATGCATTAGAGTCCTACATGGAAAATATTCTTATTTTTGAAATGACAAAATCACATTACAAATAACAAAGGGATGCTGAGCATTCTGATCACGAATTTCAGTAGATCCATACATACTCCAAGCCCAGCTCCACCAAATGCCAAATTATATGAGTTTCTTAAGGATATATTATTTCTGATTTCCTAAATTTATTTTGAATAGATTTCATGAAATTTAAACAAACGGAAAAGTTTCTATTTTTCAGACCAAATTCTATGTTTTAACAATATTTGTAGTCAATACCTTGTTGATTTTTCCAATTTTCCTCTAACTATCAAACTGGAGAAGAATTCAATAAATTAAATCCTAGGTCTAAACTAATGTTTTACCATTGGCATTCATGTAGGACCCCTGCCTTATGTGTTTCATCTCCATATTCAACACATAGGTTGGACATATATAACTAAAAAGGTACCAAATCATATTAGTGAAGTCTAACGATTAACCTAATTTAATAGTCAATTTTTTAATGGTTTGTTTTTATTTCTCTCTCAATCCTTCAAGTGCCCAGGGCCATGTATTTTGACATTCCACTGGAACACGGAGAAACAAGTATTATTAAAAGGCATCCACCCCGAAGACTTCAAGTAAGATGAATTTAAAAGGCTTCATAAGGAATTTCTTGGATTTCATGGTAGCATCCCTTTTTAACTATAATCATAAAGGAGGGATATCAAAAATGACTAAGCTAGTAAAAACAGGAATGTTATTGAAGAGAATGCCGTCAGTTGCAGAGACCATGTTTCTTTAGGATTTCCTTTTGTAATGATTTCACTTTTAAGACCACCAACCACCAAAAGAAGGAAACATAATATCAAATACACAGGCATGATGGGATTCAAAGGACCTGTATTTTGCACTGATGAGTTAGATGACTATGGAGAAATCACTTGTAACAAACAATGATAACAATCATAACAGCTAGGACTATTTAATTAGCACCTACTTCAAGTCAGATACACTCTGTGCTGCGTGTTGATCAGTGTCAATCATTTCATCTTCATATACCTCTAGGAGAAAGGAGGCATTATCTTTGCTTAATACATGTGGTTTAGAGAATTAAGTAACTTGTCCAAGGACAGTGAAGGTCAGATATCAACCAGGTCTCCAAAGCCCATGTTCTTAATCATCAGCATAGCTGATCTCTACAGACCTGCTATCCCTAAACTTCTATTGTTCTAAATGTTAACTGGTTGCTAAAATTGAGGACATTGGATTCCAAGACAGAAAAGTAAGAGCTTTAAATGCATTTACCTTAATAAATATTTAATGAATTCTCTGTAGAGAACTATAAATTCCAAGAACTCTCATCCTAGAAGGAGAAAGAGATCTGAGTGGGTCCTTGAAAATGAGCATCAGCCAAGAGAAGGGTTTGTTTGGGCTCTCCTGTGAGCAGGATCTATTACTGACATTTGAAAAAAGAATTGGGGAAAAAAAAAAAGAGAAAGGAATTGGAACCAAATCCCACCTGCTACACAATTCACCTAGACATCTGGACAAATCCCAGAGGTATTTGATCTCATTTGTTGGGGATTATTTCTGTTTCAGTTGGTTTTTATTTACCTGTCTTCTCCAGAAGCTCGCATTGAAGTGATTGCATCTTGCACATCTTTTCCCAAAATATTGGAAACCTTGAAATATTTTTATTTAAAGAAAAATAAAGTAAAATGATATCAAATTGATATATAATTTTAAAACTTTTGAGCAAACCTCTAGCTAAACTTATGTTTTGTTCCTACATCAAATGTACCTCCTCAAAGTAGTGTGCTTAATATGTGTTCCTGTGGAGCCAGTAAGCTGAATGACTCAAGTAGGAGATACTACTGTACCCAGTGAAAAGTGTTTGTGTAGCAGTGTGTAGTTCAACTCTAAAGCAGCTAAAGTTAGGCTAGGATTCTCAAATCAGTTCAAGTTCAAAAGGAAAACTTCTATGTTTCAGAACCAAAGACTGTATCCCCACATCCTAACCAACCACCTTAAAAATCAAGACAAATGAATTATTTGAGTGCAAAGACTATTGTCTTATTTGGTCTTATATCTTCAGTCACCAACACTTACTATGTACCCCCCCCCCCAAAAAAAAAGCTTGTGAATGAATAGGTGAATGAATGATAATGAGTCCCATGCTCTCTGGTGGGAACAAAAATCAATTCCTGCAGACCTGTAGCATCCCTGTATTTTTTTTTTCTTCTTTTTTTTTTTTATTTATTTTTTATTTATTTATGATAGTCACACAGAGAGAGAGAGAGGCAGAGACACAGGCAGAGGGAGAAGCAGGCTCCATGCACCGGGAGCCCGATGTGGGATTCGATCCCGGGTCTCCAGGATCGCGCCCTGGGCCAAAGGCAGGCGCCAAACCGCTGCGCCACCCAGGGATCCCAACATCCCTGTATTATAAGTCCAACTGACTAGCTGCCAATGTCATGAATTACGAAGATCCAGGAGTGCTTGTTGAACCCAAGATCTGAGAGGCACTTGGGCTTCAGACAACAGCTTTGCCTTGGAACCTGAAAGGCACAGGTCTCTCTGTGTCTCCCCTAAGCTCTTCTCTGTGCATTTGCTTTATTCATCCTGTAAATTGACTTTCTTTGCTCCTCAAGACCACTTGGTGAAATGTGGCCACCCTCAATTCCTCAATTTGTGTTTTATAGTTCCAGTTAAACAGACAGATTGGCCTGGCTCTCTTGGCTCCAATTCGAAATTCCTGGGAGGAAAGATCTTATTGGCTCAGCTTTGCTTATGATTCCAGTTCTGTTCCAGTAAGCTATGACCGGAGGGTATGCTCATGCAGTAGAAATGTGGGCAGAGTAGCCCCCCTCGCCCGCCCCCGACAAATTCTGGAAGCAGCTCCCAGAGAAGAGGGAAATCACTGGGAACTTGGCAGACACTCCCAAAGATATCAACTATAATTATCTTCACAAATGAGCCTCAGCACATTTTCCACCACAAATGGGTTTTTGAGAGAATAATAAATGCTGGGTTCCCATGACATGCTAATTAATAGCCTAATCTCTGCCAAAGAAAATTCTAAAAGTATTTTTAATTATTAAACCAAATCTAATTGCATCCTAAATAATTTGAGTTGCACATTTGGCACTCTCCACTTCCTAAACATCTACTCCTCAAGTAAAGAGCAGGTCATGAACTAAAGTTCTCCAACTCGGAGCTGCTGAATTCTGAGAGCCTCTGCCAGGGAACCCTGAATCCAGCGTGCTCATCTCTGGTTGAAAAGTTGATCACCACTGTCCTTCCCGGCCTGATTCACCTTCTCAACCAACCATCTCAGGTCCCACCTAGGTGGAAATGGTTAACTACCCCCACCCCACCCCCAGGGTCCCATGTAATGTGGTTTCCTTGGGTGACTCCCTCCTTCATCTCCCAAGATTTGCTTAAATCTCACTGTCCTACAGGCTTATCATGATAATCAGGTGACAATTGCGGTTACCCTGGTGCTCCTGGTTCCCCTGACCCACCACTATCTTTTCTTTTCCTCAAAGCACTGACTTCTAACACACCAAGCAATTTACTTCTATTAAGTTCATTGTGTATTTTCTTTTTTTAAAAAATTTTAATATTTATTTATTCATGAGAGACACAGAGAGAGAGAGAAGCAGAGACCTAGGCAGAGGGAGAAGAAACAGGATCCCTGCAAGGATCCCAATGCAGGACTAGATTCTGATTCCCGGGATCACGCCCGGAGCTAAAGGCAGACACTCAACCACTGACCCACCCAGGTGTCCCTGTGTATTTTCTTCATCACCCCCCGACCAGTGTCACGATATTATCTTTCACACGGGCATAGATTTTTGTCTGTTGTCTTTGCTAATGTATCTAAGTGTCTTGATCGATAAATAGGAGTTGAATAAATGTTGAATGAAGGAATGCAAAGGGGAAAAGAGGAGTATAAACACTGCTGGTGAGAGGTAAGGAGGGCAGTCCCGACCTGGACGGTTTCATTGTGTTGTTTTCAGTTTTATAATTTGTCACAAATGTATTTCCTTTCCTTGTCTTTTCTAACTCTTTGCCCATTTTCTATTATCTATTTCTTTATGATTTGTGAAAGTGCTTTATATATCTTAGATCTAGCCCTTTGTCAGGGATATGTGTTGCAAATATCTTCTCTTCATCAAAGTGAAAAGGTTCGCCTTTTCACTGTGTGTGTGTGTGTGGACATAAACATTTCCACTTTAAATGTGGTCACATTTCTCAATCTTAGTCTTTATGTTTTGTATTTTTGTATTTTGTCTAAGAAATTTTTCTTCTCCCCAAGGTCTTCCAAATTCTTATTCCTTGTGTTTGTTTTCTTGACTTTTGCATGGGCTAGAACTTCCCTCTGATGTTGAACACAAGCAGTGATGATGGGCATCCTTCTCTTATTTATGACATTTTTAAGACTGGTTCAAAAACTAAGTACATTTGCAATAGGATTTTTTTAAAATTTTTATTTATTTTATGATAGTCACACAGAGAGAGAGAAAGAGGCAGAGACATAGGCAGAGGGAGAAGCAGGCTCCATGCACCGGGAGCCCGACGTGGGATTCGATCCGGGGTCTCCAGAATCGCGCCCTGGGCCAAAGGCAGGCGCCAAACCGCTGCGCCACCAAGGGATCCCTGCAATAGGATTTTTTAAAAAAGATTTTATTTATTTATTCATGAGAGACACAGCAATAGGATTTTGATAGATGCTGATCAGAGTCCCAAGAAGAAACAGATGCTACATTCAAATTAGAATAATTCAAGGAAATTTTCTTTGTAGATAACTATTTTTACAGACGTTTGGATCAAGGGAACCATAGAGGATATTGCAATGACCACTAGTGGCAGCTGAGGGATAACCACCTCTGAGCAAAGGGACTTGGAGAATGAGAGAACCTGGAAGGAGAGTCAGGAGGAGGAAGGTGCTTTGAGAGAAACAGTGGGACACAGTCAGCCCAATAGGACCTTCAGGTAGGAAGGCAGAGGAAGAAATATCCTCATCTCATTCTCTCTTCTCTCAGATCTCCTGCCAGGGTTGCTCAGTGGCTAAACCCAGTGGGAAGCCAGAGGGCAGGAGAAACTGATTAGTTCTCACAGGCACAGAACAGGGTAGAGAAATGTGGCAAGTGGATCTGAAGAAACAAGTAGAAGATATCCAGTACAGTGTCATTTATTATTGACGTTCCTTTTATTCCTGGTATGCTAAGAGTTTTTCTTAGGGCCGAGTGTGAAACTTTATTGAATTTTCCCCCTTCATCTATTAAAATAATCTTACAATCTTGTAACCAGTTGATAACAATATGTTACACTAATGGACCTTATGTTGAGCCCTGCTTGCATTCCTGGTATAAATCCTACTTGATCATGAGATACCATATACGTATACAAATACATTGTTGGATTGCCCATGCTTAGGCTTTTCTTATCTATTTTCATAAGTGAAATTGTTCTTTAATTTCCAAAACTGTCTTTTTTTTTCAGTTTTGCTTCTAGGGTTGTACTAATTTTGTAAAATTTGCTGGTTATCTTTCTCTTTCTTCTGTTCTCTAAAACATTTGATATAAAACAATTATTATCTGTCTCTTAAAAGTTTGATGAAACAGACCTGTGAAATCATCTTTAGCAACCTGGACTTTTGGGAGAATGACAGATTTTCCTACTAACTTAATTTCTTAGTTGTGTTAAGTATCTTATTTTTTCATGATTCAATTTTGCTAATTGATATTTTTTTTCAGAAAAGTATCCATTTATTTAAGCTTTCAAGTTTATTGTTATGAAGCCTTAGCTTCTTCATATTCAACTTTTAAAAAAATTTAATTTATAGTTGACACCAATGTTACATTAGTTTCAGGTGTACAACTAGTGATTCACTATCTCTGTACTCTATGCTATGCTCCCCACACATGTAACTGTTGTCACTACACAACACTATTATAACACCATCGTCTATATTCCCTATGCTGTGCCCTTTATCCTTGTGACATTCATTCTATAACCAAAAGCCTATGTCTCCCACTCACCTTCACCCATTTTGCCCATCCCTCACTCTCCTTCCCTCTGACAACCACCAGTCTGTTCTCTGTCTTTATAGGTCTGATGATACTTTTTGTTTATTCACTTGTTTTGTTTTTAGATTCCACATCTTGAGAAAAAACATAAGGTATTTGTCTTTCTCAGTCTGACTTATTTCCCTTAACACTATACTCTCTGGGATCATCCACGTTGTAGCAAATGGCAAGATCTCAACCTTTTTTATGGCTTCTTAATATTTTTCATATTCAACATTTTGATAATGTAAAATCTTTCAACTTAGGGATCCCTGGGTGGCGCAGCGGTTTGGCATCTGCCTTTGGCCCAGGGCACGATCCTGGAGACCTGGGATTGAATCCCACATCGGGCTCCCAGTGCATGGAGCCTGCTTCTCCCTCTGCCTGTGTCTCTGCCTCTCTCTCTCTCTCTCTCTGTGTGACTATCATAAATAAATTTTAAAAAAATTAAAAAAAAACCTTCCAACTTACATTTTGATGCAGCTCTCTTGTACTGGGTAGAAAGGTAGAGAACAGCTCAATCCCTAATTTCAAGCTATAATCCTGGCTCTAGTTTACCCTGTTACATGGAGCATTTTTAGGTCCCCTTTAATCTCCAGAAATGGCCATCAGGAGCCCCAAACATCTTATGGGTCAGCTGTCTCTAAGTATGTGTTTGTTTTCTAGTCCATGGAGATGTGTATTTTGTATTAAAGCCCAATCACATCTTTTTGGCTTTATGTTTTATTTTTCATTGCTAGATGTTTGGGGCAAAGAAAGTTATTGAAATGTGAACTCACTGCAATGCCTTGACCAGAAATTCCTCCTTGGGCTCATGATTTCTTGCTTTGAGGCTGCCCTGGACACCTTTGCCTTCTGAGAACTTTAAAGGACATACATTCTTGAGTCATGATGCCAAACAAATTTTGCAATTTCTTTGAGCTTCTTCTGCCCATCTTTCTCCTCCTGTTAGTACACAGAGGCAAACATCTCAGATTAGTGTGTCATGAAGTTCAGTGACTTCTGCTTGATTTAATCTCCATTTCTGAGTTTCTCAGCTGACACTTCAACTGATTAGCCTGACCATTTGTTTCATTTGAGAAGCCAAATAACCAGAAACCTTTAGACAGAGAATACATTTTTTAAAACATGGGATAACAAAAAATTAAAGGTGTCATTCTATCATACCAATTCTCCAGTAATTCCTTCCCTGTGCTCTCTCTGAAGATGATGAAGTGAGGCAGCTTGCTTCCCAAGCAGGGAAAAGGAACATTTATATGAATCCAGAATTCTGGGGCAATTTCATTTGACTAGTTTGTTTAGAGAAGCCAATTTTTCAATAATCTTTTCTGCAGTGGTTCTCAGGCCAAGCGCAAATACTTAAGAGAGAGATCCTATTTGCAATGTTAGTTGCTGCCATCTAGTGCTCTTTGTAGATGAATAGTGGGATTCTTAGGCTCCTTTCAAAGTCCAGGAAGAAAGTAATTGCCTGGAGACGGTTCTTAAAGACACCTCCTCTTTAACCCTTATAAGAATTGTGGGTTTAAACACAATGAGGCTGAAAATAGAAGAATATATATTTGTATTTTCAAAGAAAAACCTGGCCCTAAGAATTTATGGATAGATTATTTTAAATAGCTGAAAATATTTAAATAACTGGAATCTCCAGATTCAATTTTTCCATAGTACCACAAACAAATCCTCTTTGGTCTACTCTGATGTAGTTCCTTTACTCACTTGAGGCAGTATGGAAGCCAGTGGACCCCAACCTAGAAAATCATCAGAATCCTTGGAGATATATTCAGAGAAACAACTGAGAAGCTGGACCTCATTGAAATTAAAACCTGCTCTGCAAAAGACAATGTCAAGAGAATATGAAGGCAAGTAGAGAAGATAAAAGATGGCAAGTAAGCTTGTGAAAATGTTCAACATCATATGTAATCAGGGAAATCCAAATTGCAACAACATTGAGCTATCACCATACACATATTGGAACAGCTAAAATCCAAAACACTGACAATACCAAATGTTGGCAAGGATGTGGAGCATCAAGAACTCTTATATATGCTGCTGGTGGAATGGAATAATGGTATAGCCACTTTGAAAGTCAGTTTGGTGCTTTCTTATAAAACTAAACATACTCTTACCATACAATCCAGCAATTGTGAGCCTTAGTATTTGCCCAAAGGAATTGAAAATTGATGTTCGCATAATTTGGATGTCCATAAACATCCATGTGCAGCTTTATTAATAATTTCCAAAATTTGGATGTAACCAAGATGTCCTTCAGTAGATGATGGATGAAGAAACTGTGGTACATCCATATAATGGAATATTATTCAGCACTAAAAAGAAATTAACTCCCAAGCTATGAAGATATATGGAGAAAACTTTTTTTTTTAATTTATTTATGACAGTCACACAGAGAGAGAGAGAGAGAGAGGCAGAGACATAGGCAGAGGGAGAAGCAGGCTCCATGCACTGGGAGCTGATGTGGGATTCGATCCTGGGTCTCCAGGATCGCGCCCTGGGCCAAAGGCAGGTGCTAAACCACTGCGCCACCCAGGGATCCCTATATGGAGAAAACTTAAATGTGTATTGTTAAGTGAAAGAAGCCAATTTGCAAAGGCTATATACTGTATCATTCCAAGAATGTTAACTTTTCAGAAAAGGCAAAACAATAGAGACAGTAAAAAGATCAGTAGTTGCCAGGGAATAAGCGGAGGAAGGGTGGACTACATCAGTGGATACATGTCCCAATACATTTGTCCAAATCCATAGAAAGTACAACACTAAGCATGAACCCTAGTTTAAGCCATGGACTTTCAGTGATAATGACATGTGAATATAGGTTTATCAATTGTAACAGATATACCATTCTGGTGAGGGATGTTGATAGTGGAGGAGGTTGTGCATATGTGAGGGCAGGGAGTATCAGGGAACTCTCCATACTTTTCAGTTTTGCTCTGAACCTAAATCTGCCCTAAAACTTAAAGTTTATTATTTATATACATAATACATATATTCATTCCCAGGACATACTCTGGACCTGTTGAATCACAACCTTCAGTGAATAGCCCAGGTTTTGTATGTCTGTGAGTGTGTGTGTGTGTGTGTGTGTGTGTGTGTGTGTTCAATTCCAGGATATTCTGATGATAAACCAAGTTTAGGAACAAGTAGAAGAGAAAGAAGCATGAGGTTTGGAACTGGATAGACTTGAGTTTGAATTCTAGAGCTGCCACTTTCCAGCTGTGCAACAATTGGACAAGTTATTAACTTCTCGACAATGGGGAATCATCATAATTACCCACAGGGTTCATGGGAGGATTGAACCAGATGACATATTGTGACCCTGGAAGTGATAGACAGGGACAGCTGTAAAGGCTCATGGGCCTCATCAGCAGAAAGAAGTAGATCCTGAATGAAGTCCAGAGAGTGGCACAAACACTTCTTTGTTCTCCCCTCATGCCCTGAATACCCCATCAGGTCATTGCTGATTCTTCTTCCCACTCGTGCCTGGATATCTCTTTCCCCTTGGTCTCCATTTCCCAGTGGTTCTGATCTGATCAGCTACTACCTCTTATACCAGCAGGTCCCATTTTCTCAGCAGACAAGAGAGCCAGACGAACCTCTCTTACTAGTACTCATCACCTCTCATTACATTCTTGCACAGTTCTTATGTTAAAACCCCCACTTTCTCCACTTAGGGTGAGAATGGAACAGAGAGCTACTTCCTACCACAAGTGCAAATTGCCTGGCACATGTCTAAGCTGAAGATGAGTTCTTTCCCTTTGACCTGCCTCCTTTGGCCTCATTTTCTTCCTTGCCAGGTGAGCTTTGGGCTGTGCCAGCAGGAAGGAATGCAGGCTCTTCTCCCTAGAACAGCTCAGGCCCAGGCCCAGAGACCAGGAAATTATTCTATAGGGAAGTAGCAGCAGGCACAGTTCATGCTCCCCATGAGAGCTGGCTGTTCAGCATCCGTTTCCCTGTCTCCCCCTCTGTCTTTTCACTCTGGTCACCTTGAAAGCCAAGCTAGCATCCAGTCTACCCCTTGCTAGTGCAACCAATCAGACTAAAATGAAAAACAAAATTTTTCAAAATAAATCAACATTTGCCTTTAGGAGAAGACTAAGGTGGGCATGGTGCTCAAACTGTTTGTTGCAGTGTGGCATCCTCCTCATTTTCCTCCTACTTCTCTAGCCAATCTCTTCTCTGTGCCCTTGGCCAGCTTGTCCCCTCACCAGCTTCTCAGTGTTGGAGCTCTTCAAGTCTTCAGGACTTGGCTCTGCTTTTCTTACTCTTGACCTTAGGGTCAAGATGGTCTTACCTGTGACCATGGTTTCAGTTATTCTCTACCCAGGGATGATCTCCAAATAATGCATCTCTAGCACAGACCTCTCCTGTGAGTTCCATGCCTGTACATCTCATTATCTACTCAACATCTACACTGGTATGCTTCAAAGGCACCTCAAACTCAATCTAAACCGAATTTATATCCTCCTGTTACATCCCATTCACACCTGGTCTTCCTTAGGTTTCCCATCTCAGTGAATGATAACACTATCCATCCCCTGAATTTGGATGCCATTTGGACCCTTCACTCTTCCTCACCAACTATAATAAATCTTATTTGGTCAGTTTTAAATATTTGTAGAGGGCAGCCCTGGTGGCTCAGCAGTTTAGTGCCGCCTTTGGCCGGGGCATGACCCTGGAGGCCCGGGATCGAGTCCCGGGTCGGGCTCCCTGCATGGAGCCTGCTTCTCTCTCTGTCTGTGTCTCTGCCTCTGTGTGTGTGTGCGTCTCACATGAATAAATAAAATCTAAAAAAAAAAAAAAAGCAAAACTTATTTTAATAAATAAATAAATATTTGTAGAGCCCATCGATTTCCCTCCAGGAGCCCCAAGCCCTTCACCATTGTCTTCCTAACTGCCCATCCTGCATCTGTGATTATTCTTTTCTAGTTCCCACACTGCAGCCAGAATGATCATTTTTTTAAGGATTTTATTTATTTCAGAGAGAGAGAGCTAGAGAGACAGAGCAAGCATGAGCAGGGGGCAGAGGGCCAGGGAAAAGCAGACTCCCTGCTGAGAAGGAAGCCTGCTATGGGGCTGGATCCCAGACCCTCATGATCTGAGCTGAAGGCAGACACTCAACCAACTGAGCTACGCAGGTGCCCCAGAGTAATCATTTTTTAAAAAGTGAATGTAATCATGTCACTAGTTTGCTTGATTCATGTCAATGGCTGCCCATTGCTCTGAAGAAAACCAATGTCTTTAGAATGCTCCATCAGGCACTGCAAGACCTGGCCCTGCCTACTATCTCTCCAGCCTCATTTGAGCTATTCTTCCCCTTGCTCTGAACTGCAGTCAACTGACTTCCTGCAGTTCCCTCAATAAATCATGCTCTCTCCTACCTCGGGGTTATTGCCTATGTTGTTCCCTCTACCCAGAATACCTTACTTAGTCCCATAGAATTTCCTAAGCATCCAACTTCTGCTGAAAATTACTTCCTCAGGAAAATTTCTTGGACCACCTCCTTACTCCTCTCCCCCTTACGTTAATTTTCTAGGGCTGCAGTAACAAAGTACAACAAAGTGTGGGGTTTAAACAACAGAAATGTATTATCTTACAGTTCTGGAAGTCCAAGGTCAAGGCATTTGCAAGGTTGACTCCTGATAGCCGAGAGGAAGAATCTGTTCCATGTGTCTCAATTTTCAGTGGTTTCCTGGCAATCTTTGTCACTCCTTGGCTCATAGAAGCATCACCCCAATCTCTGCCTTCATCTTCACATGGTGTTCTCCCTGTGTGCATGTGGGTGTTTGCACCTATATTTCTCTTTTTTAATTAAGGTGATCCTTAATCCAAGCATTGTGGGTTAAGGATCACCCTGCTCTAGTATGACTACATCTGCAAAGACCCTCTTTCCAAATAAGGTCACATTCTGAGGTGTTGGGGGTAAAGACCTCAACATATAAGTTGGAGGAGGGGCACAATTCAACTCATAACCCCCCATTTCCAAGGTGGAATCCTCTGGTTATATATTGTCATAGACCTGCCCGATAGACTTTTTCTTCAAAGCACTGATCACAGTTTGTAATTATTCATGAATAATTACATAAGCAAAATGTATTTGTTCCCCTACAGATTGTAAGCTCCATAGGGAGCATGCTGGGTTTTTTGACCACTGCACCCTCATGCCAGGCATGTACTAATTGTTCAGGATGTAGTCACTGACAACAAAAAAATCTGATGGCCCTCCAGGTCCCTGCCTGCATGGCAATGTGGAGAAACCCACCTTTGTCTCTTGTTCTACCACTTCCCAATGCTCCAACATCCAGAGCATTAAGTCATCCGAGGCAAGTAGGGCTGAGGCAGATCCACTGGTTCATCATTTGCTTCCCAGTCTTAGTGACCCCTTGAAACTCCAACATGATCTCCCCCCATAAAGACAAGCCCCTACTAGGAAAAACAAAAACAAAACCAGAACAAAACAAAAAAACCAACCATGTCTAAGATTTGTAAGCCCACTGCACCTTCATTTTAAATGTGTCTCGTGGGTACCAGTGATTATTATGGAGGGAGCTTCTCTGGAGATCTTATATACAGGTCACTTCGCTAAGAACTGGAAGAGTTCAGCCTGGTGGTTAAGGACTGAATATAAGAAATTCCTGGTGCCCCCTTCATCTCAAATACTCTAAGACCCTTAGAGTTGTCTGGTAACTTCAGTCTTGGTCCCTTGATGCAGACAGAAAAGGATTCCTAGCGTCTTGACTCTCTGACCAATATTTAGATCAATAAGTCACTGGCAACAGCACAATAAAACAATAAAGAACCCAGATAAGTTGAAAAGTCTGCACAGATATGACCGTAATCCTGTGGAAATCGCCTTCCCTCTGTGCTCTCAGGAATAAGTGCTGCTTTTGCTAAATGTTAAGATAGTTTAATGTCTGGCTTTTATGTTTCATCATCTCATGGCATGAGGAATGCTGAATGCTCTAAATGTTGGACTTCTAGAAGCTTGAACCCATTGACCTGCCACAAGTAATTACCTCTGAAATGCTCCTGAGCCAGCAAGAAGCCAGAACAACTCACAGAGCTAAGGTGAACTGTAGCACTAACTGGAAAGGGTGGTAATGGGGGGTGGGTTCTCCTTTCATGTACTCCTGGCACAGAAGACCTCAGAGACAAATCAGACTATTAAGTCATTCAGAGTTAGAATTTTCCAAAGCTATCCATTCTCTCCTAGGCCTGCCTTAATCTGCCAAAGACTCTCATTTCTGAAGTAAATTCTGGGCCCTTCTCCACTTCCTGGTGAAAACAAGGAGTTGCGGATAAGAAGAGAGGAATTTTACTTAGATATGGGCAATTCTAGAAGTGTTCAAATTTGTGAGAAATCTAGCATAGCTCGCTCCTTTTGTTCTTCCCCTCATGTTAAACCTTTCTCTTCATTCTCAACTTTTAGGGGAAATCATCTCTACAAGGTGTCCCTAACTTATTTACCACAACTTCACCAAAAAGGAATCTTTGGAAAAGGTCCTCTGAAGAGCTCTGGCCTTTTATTAATTTGTCATATATTCTGCCGAGATAACATCCCTCCTATAGACATGAAAAACTGGGAGGTAGTAGATTTTCAACACTTTCCACTCCCGGTTCATTCTGGAGCCAGGTGCTGCTGCACAGCTGGCTGATTGGGGAAAAGATGTCCAGGAGCTTTTAGACCACCAAGCCCAGGTTTATGATGCCAACAGCACTGTAGAGATCGTCCCCTCATGAGGCTCACAACAGTCAACACAGTTACAGTCCACAGGGTGGCCAAAAGATATCTCTGAGCACATCTGGTTGCCATATCCCTCCCCTTTGCTGGCCACAGCCAGGAACGAACAAGGCTGTATTCACCCCTGGTTGCCTTCAGTAACTGTCTGTACTGTCCCACTGGGGTTTATGATGCGCCAGGGGAGACCACCAAGTCACAAATAATCAACTTCCTGATATACCAGGGCTTATATTCCTATATATAGGACATTTATAAACAAACCCCACAGGGGTTCTGTCTATAGAAATGGGTTCCATTTAGCCATACAGTGGCTCCCCTCTGATTTCATAGCCAGAGGCAGAAGAGGCAGAAAGAAAGAGGCCAATCTTATCCAACCAGAACACATTTCTGGGGAGATGGTGATAAGCATCTATTGACAGGGTAGGCGATATTTCATCAAAATGAGATGTGGAAATGTATTTCCATTTAAGACTTTCAAAACTCTACAGGAACCTTAAAAGCTACATTATGCGCACAGCAAAGCTCCATTCACTGAGAGCTACACAAAGGACTCGATGGGGGGGCTATAATGATCCACCTTCAACATCACAAGAGTTCCCTATGGATTATAACTGATAGCTGATTAAGATCTCACTCTGCTGAAAAAAAAATTACAAGTTACGTATTGCAGAGTCAGTAACAAATTACCCCGTTCTAACTAGTGTGTCATCTTTCACAGCAGGGACTGGAAAAGAAGATGCAAACTCCAGGGTACACTCCTGGGAAAAGACAATACTTACATAAGATGCGAATGCTGGAAATGAACCGTAACAGACAAGAGGTAAGTATGAGAAGAGAGAAGAGTGCTGTATTTACCACGTCTACTCCACGTAATCACTACTCTCACACAGGAATGGTTTAGCATCCATCTCCAGGCTTTACTTAACATTTTAAATTTGGTCATTGGCACCGACACTTCAATTCCTGGAGCTGGGAAGGATCAGCAAGATCCCTTCTTCTAGCGACTCTCTTTGTTTTCAGTTTCAAGGATGGATCTGTGTCCCAAGTCTTTCTGTTATTTCTCTCTTTCCTTTTTTTTTTTTCCTTCACAAATTGCTATGACATTCTGGCTTCAGTGGAAAAATGATGTTAGATCGCTTTTCTTGGTTTAGTAAGATAGAGAGGGGTGAGTCGGTCTTTATCTTGCTACCAAGGTATCCCTCCATAATTCATGCCACAAGATTATCTCAGAAGAATCATCTCTTCTAATGAAAACTTTTATAGTAATATCTCCTGTAATTGGCATATTCCAAATTCCTCACTCTAGTTTTTAAACCTAGAATCACTGTCTTCTGCAATTCCAAATATATCGGTGGCCTCCCAACAATTGTTTCTACAAAGATCCTTCTCTTAAACCAAGCCATACCATTTGAGTATACTCGCCTCTCTCCTAACAAGCCTGTGCATAGAGAAAGTTTCTGTGCCTTATAATAGGAAAAAGAAAACTGTATTCTGGTTAGGGGACCAGAGTACAGATAAATACACCACTTGCAAAGTGGCTGATCTGTTGATCTATTCTGATGACAGGAGTTCAGCGGGGAGAACACTAATTCATTGTGGCTGATCATTTTCAGGCCCAAGCAGAGTTGAAGAAAAGTCTTCATAGGGAGGCAAGAATTAATCAAAAACCAAGGGACCATAAAGCCAAGAAAATCCTTCAAAGCATCCCAAGAAACCCAAGAAATGATGACGGGGACCTTCCAATCTTGTTGCCAGATGAGACCTTGAACAGAAGAAGTCCAGGTCAGTTCCATACATTATTTTATGTAAATTATGTAAAAAAATTAAGTAAAAATATTTCAAGTATTTTTAAAACTTGAGCAAATAAACTTGGGGTGGAGAGTGTGGTGGTGGATGGACAGCAAGTAGCCTTGGGTTTCTGCTGATATTGTACTTCCTGGAAAGTAGGAATCACACTGTCCTGTAACTTTGGGTGGCTGGGAGGAAAAGACTTGTAGACTTTGTTCAAACCTTGTAGCAAGATGGCCCTCTTTAGAGGCTTCCTGTGCTTCACAGGCATCCTTGCAATTCTTGCTTCAGCCCTAGGAAGAGAAAAGGCAAAAGAGCCTCATCTTGTGGTTAAAGAGAATGAAGCATGCGGACTTCTATTAAATAGCAAACCGATATCAGCCAGTTTGCTGCCATCTGCAGACACCCTCCCCCAGCCAGCTCTTTCCCCTGCAGCCCTCTCAGGTTCCTTCAGGAGAGCTAAAACTGAAGCCAGCATCACGGCCCACCCCAGGCTTGGTCTGCTGCATCTGCTGTCTCTGTGAGTGAGGGCCCTTCTCCTACCCCACTCTGGGCCACCTTCCAGCCCTTCTCCTCCCCCTCCTTGCAGCTGGTTAGTCACAAAGTCCTGTTGATGTCACCTGGCACTGAACCCTTACCTTCCTCACATCCCTAATGCCCCCCCACAGGGCATAGTGTCACACTGGGCTACTGCCGGTTCCTCCCTCAAGTCTTGCCCTTCTTCCAGCAACCCTCTATCCACATGGTTCTCAGTACAGTCCCCAGGTCCCCCAGAATGAGCATCACCTGAGGGATTGCTGGGCCCCAGCCAGAGTGATTGAATCAGAAAATGTAGGGGCAGAGGCCAGCAATCTGGGTTTAACTCCCCCTTAGGTGATTCTGATACCCATAAAGTTGAAGAACCACTGCTCTACTTGGTCATCAGTATTGGCCACAGACTGGCACCATCTGCATCACCTGGGAGTTTGTTAGAAAAGCAGAATTTCAGGCCACACTCTGGACCCACTGAATAAGGATATGCATTTTATCAAGATCCCAAGGTGATTCTCATGCATGACAGCTTTAGAAGCCCAGTGCTAATAGCCAAGTAATCTTATAAAATGCCAATCTGACCATATCATTCTCTTGCTTAAAAAAAAAAAATCTTCGGTGAGCCTCCATCAGTCTGAGGACAAAAATCTAAACTCTTTGCCCTGGGGCCCTGGGTGGCTCAGTAGATTAAGCATCTCACTCAAATTTCTGCTCATGTCATGATCTCAGAGTCATGAGATGGAGCCCCAAGTAGGGCTCTACACTGGACATGGAGCCTGCTTTAGATATTCCCTCTCCCTCTGCCCCTCCTCCCTCTAAAAAGTAATAAATTTTAAAAAAATTAAATAAATAAACTCTTTACCTTGGTACTCTAAGCTGACCTTTGTGGCTATATCTGCTGCCATTTTGTGTCCAACTTCACCTCCAACCAGGCCAGACTGCTCAGTGATTTCCAACAGACATCGTGTTCATAGCCTCTGTACTGCGTGGTCTCACCAATTTTAGCCCCAGTAAGTTTGCCCTGTCCATGTTCCCTCAGGGCAAAGCACCCTTTGAATATATAATATTGTTCATGCACACAGCTTGCTGTGCTGTGAGCTCACTCCCCACATCAGCAAAACTGACCACTGAGAGATCTATAGAAATGCTGGCCATGTCTCTGGAGATCCTGAACTTCTCAGATGCAAAGTTGCCAGCTGAAAGAGACACTGCTCCTGCTCACAGGAATAGGATACTTAATCAATGAGTTAAATAAATAATAAAAGGCTGAATAATTGAAAATCTACTTGGGGAATCTATTTAACCTATACCCCCAGTGCCTGAATGAAATATGCTATGTAGGCACATAGAAAAACAACTTTTATAATGTAAAAAATATTGCCAAAACAACCCAAAAAAAGGTGACTCAGCTTAAGTTAGATACTAAGAGTCATTGCTTAAGAGTGAGCCAAGAAAAACCAACATTGGTAAAATCTTTGGAAGATGGCCCAGATCTGGAGGGGCCCAGGAAGGATGGTGGTATGTGGAAAAGAGGGTTTCTCTGCATTTCCTGATGCTTTTTAAAGCTGCTTCATTTTGTTCTACTTAAAGTTTAAAGATTTATTTGTTTATTTTAGAGAGGGAGAGAGAGAGCTCATGAGTGGGGAGTAGGGACAGAGGCAGAGAGAATCTGAAGCAGACTATGTTGAGCATGGAGCCAGACCTGGGGCTTGATCTCACAACCTGAGATCTAGTACCTGAGCCAAAACCAAGAGTTGGATGCTTAACTGACTGAACCACCAGGCACCCCTCAAGCTAAGGTTTATTGAGTGTGTACTATAAAGCAGGCACTGTTGTCCATGTGCTACATGCATTATTGCTCCTAATCCTCACACAGCCTATATGAAGGAGTTACTGTTACCTCTTATGTGACAGAGCCAGAATTCGAAGTCAGGTCTTTCTGACTCCAAAGGTACACTCCACCCATCACCACCCCCTCATATACCCTCATCAGGAATCCAGGGACTTGGAGATCTGTCCGGAACAACCTTGGCCAAGTCTGCAAATAGAGGGGCGTGACTCCGAACCTTCTCTGTCATGAGCAGGCTGCTCCTCTGCCAACCCTGCAGATTTTACCACCACAACAGGCATGTGCTTGAGCAGTGATGCCTTTTACTTGTTTCCAGGTAGCAACCTTGCTTTCTCTCTCTGTCTACTGAAAGCAGTCCATTTTACGTTCTCCTAAAAGTGGAGCAAAGCCAGGATCATAGAATTACAGGAGCTTTCTGCTAGTCCGGTTCTGGTAATTAGGATTCTGCTGTACCCCCCTCCTGTTATTGAATGCTATAGTTGCCCATTCTTGTTCCCTTTTTGGGAAGGTGGGATGAGAGTTTTAGGTTTCTCTCTCTTTTTTAAAAAATATTTTATTTATTTATTCATGAGAGAGAAAGAGAGAGAGAAGCAAGCTCCACGCAGGGAGCCTGATGTGGGATTTGATCCTGGGACCCAGGATCACGCCCTGGGCCAAAGGCAGGTGCTAAACCGCTGAGCCACTCAGGGATCCCTGGGTCTCTTATAAGATAAAGGTCGGTCTTTGTTTTCTGTTGCCTCTTTAACATGAAATTTTACATATATTTTACATTTATATACTTTGAATACATGTTATATGTTTATGGAATGACTTACATATGACCTAAGATAAATGTATAATAATTACATTTAACTTACACAATAAATTACTTATAACTTATACGATGGCTCATAACTTACACAAAGTGAGCATTGTTCTTTGGATGTACAGTTTCTTTTTTTCAAAAAAGATTTATTTATTTATTCATGAGAGACATAGGCAGAGGGAGAAGCAGGCTCCTCACAAGAAGTCCAATGTGGGACTCGATACTGGACCCTGGGATCATGCCCTGAGCCAAAGACAGACGCTCAACTGCTGAGCCACCCAGACATCCCTTTGGGTGTACAATTTCATGAGTTTTAACATGTTTAGGTGGCTCTGGCCTTTTCCAGAAGCCATGATAGGGTAGTGGGTAGCAAGAGCAGTGAACTTGAAATCAAAGTTCTTCATCTGAGCCCCAAGAACTACATTTCTAGATGTAAACTCCATGGTAACAGGGGCCTCTTTTTGTTTCTAGAACAGTGCCTGGTACACAGTAGCCTCTCAATGAACATTAGCCATATATTTGTCAGATAGTTTTATTCTATATAGAAAGACAATAGCTAACCTCCAGTTACTTAACCTCTCTGAGCCTCAGTCTCCACATCTGTAAAATAGGAATAAAGCCTTGTCTACCACGTAGGGTTTATGAAAAAATTAATCCAATGTGTGTAAAAGCACATATAAAATGTAAAATGCTGGGGCACCTGGGGGGTTCAGTCTATTAAGCATCTGGCTTCGGCTCAGGTCATGATCCCAGCATCCCACATCATCGGGCTTCCTGCTCAGCGAGAAGCCTGCTTCTCCCTCTCCCTCTGCCCCTTCCCCTGCTTGTTCTCTCACCATATCAAATAAATAAATAAATAAATCTTTTAAAAATAATCAAAAAAAATAAAATGTAAAGTGCCAAACTCATGCATGGGAATATAAGCAACTGAAGAAATATGGAACTGATGAATAGTAAAAATAACTATCTATCTCACGGGAGGTGTCACCTTAAAAACATTATTGTCACCTACACAATTCTGGTCTTATCAGGCCACCGCACCATTATCCACTTTATTTTTCTTTAAAGTATCCTGGGTTTTTTAGTGTGTTTTAAATTTAGCCTTTTCTGTGAAATTGGGACTTTGATGTAATGGTGATACATTTTGCTAAAATATATATATTGCAAAACACATAACCATCAAAGATTTTTAATACTTTAGAGAATCTTTGTACTACCTAAAAATCACTCCATATTTTCCCCCCACTGGCCTCTGTTGCTTTACCTCTCTTCTCCAATTAATTTTGAAGTTGGACACACTCTCCTCTGCTCTGCTCACCCACAACCCATTTAGGTTTTTAAACGTTGTGTTTTTCTTTTTTGTTTTTCCTTATGTCTAGCAACCCCAGAGAATCAAGCAGGGATTTATAAAAATGTAACAAGTAAAAAAGACATCTAGCTGAGAAGTCCTTAAACTTTAATGCTGTGTATACAAAACTATGTATATAATACTTCATGAATGATTTAAGAGATATTCAAGGATAAAATTGAACATGTGAATCTGGCCTCATGCACTAACTTTAGGCCTGCATTATCATAACATCAAGAGTGGTGTGGGACTTAAGCTATTATTAATATTGCATTAGATCCCACCATTAACAAACATTCTCTTCCTGTTTCAAAGCTCCTGCCTCTAGTCAGCAGAAAATTGCTGTTCCCAGTCTGAATGATGCCTCTAGTAGTTCTTGGCTCATTTGCACAGCAGAGATGATTATACCCTCTGGCCCCAATGAATGAAGTCTTTTCCCAGTCCCAGTTACCAGTAATTCTCACCTCCCAAAATTCTCTGATGGCTCACTTGCTCACTCATGTCTTCATAGATGTGGCTTTGCAATAGAACAGATGACGAACAAGGAGAAGTCTGATAACTGTGAAACTGAGAGACCTCACAATCTGAGAGAATCAGGAGATTTCCTCAAGGAAGTGGTACTTAAGCTGAGACAGGAAGTAGCTGGACAAAGGGGATAGGAATCCATGTACGTGTGAAGACCAAACTGCTGGAACATTCAGATATATCACAATATGTGCAAAAGCTCTTGAGTGGGAAGGGACCTGACAGATTCTAGACACTGGTTGGGAAAGAGATTCAGGTAGTGATCAGAGATGGCTCTGGACTGGGTGGCTCAGTGGTTGAGAGTCTCCCTTTGGATCAGGGCATGATTCTGGAGTCCCAGAATCGAGTTCTGCATCAGGCTTCCTGTAGGGAGGCTGCTTCTCTTCTCCCTCTGCCTATGTCTCTGCCTCTCTCTGTGTCTCTCACGAATAAATAAAATCTTAAAAAAAAAGAGAGAGAGAGAGAGAGATGGCTCTGGAGGAATAGGCAGGGCACAGAGCACACAGGGTCTTGCAAGTTGTATCAAATAAGGACTTTGAACTTGAGTTTAAGATCAATGGGAAGTCATTGAAAGGTCAAGGAAGCCACACAATCAGGTTTACATTTTTAAGCATTGCTCTATCTACCCTAGAGAGGATATGGGAGGAGAATGCAAGAGGGCATGGGAAGACAAGTGATAAGGATATAGCAGAAAAGCAAGTGAAAGACGGTGCTTGGACCAAGAGAATAGGGTGACAGAAGAGAAAGAGCCAGATGTCGAATATTTAGGAGATAGAATTGGCAGAAGCTGGTGATGGATCAGATGTGGGTACATGAAGAGAGCAAGAAGGCCAGGAGGTTTCATGGGATTCTGTTGAAGAACTAGGCAGACAATGGGGCAAAGCTGGGCCATTTGCTAAATTAGGGTAACTGGGAGAAAAAGCAGGTTTGGAAGAGAAAGAAGGTGAGTCTGGGGATCCCTGGGTGGCGCAGCGGTTTAGCGCCTGCCTTTGGCCCAGGGCGTGATCCTGGAGACCCGGGATCGAATCCCACGTCAGGCTCCCAGTGCATGAAGCCTGCTTCTCCCTCTGCCTATGTCTCTGCCTCTCAATCTCTCTTTCTGTGACTATCATAAATAAATAAAAATTAAAAAAAAAGAGAGAAAGAAGGTGAGTCTGACATGTTGCCAGGAGACAAAAATGGAGGCATCCAATTTTACCCAAAAAAAGTGTGTGTAGCTCAGGAGAGAAATTGGGGCTGCAGACATGAATTAACTGTCATTTTTGGTACTACTATGTGTATAGATAATAACAATAACTATAATCAGATTCAAGGGGGGACAAGGTAACCCATCATGGAGGCACAAAGGAAAGTAATGAATCATAAGGCACCAATGCTCACATTGAAATGCTTGATTTTCTCATGTAACATATGCAATGTCAACTATCAAGGGCTTAAATACCATATATCATAAGATTTGATAAACAGTTATCCTTGAGATGACATCCAAAAGTTATGGCTGGTTCAACCATTTGGTTGTGGGGACACTCTGGGTTTTGACCCAGGATAATTTTCCTAGCTCAGAAGTGGCCATTGCTTTTGTTTTCTTAAAAGCCAGACTTCCTTGAATAAAGTGCCTGTTCTGAAGTGCATTTTATTTTAAGTTTTATTTATTTATTTGAGGGGGAGAGAGAGAGAGAGAGAGAGAGAGAGAGAGAGAGAATCTCAAGCAGACTTCCCACTGAGCACGAAGCCTGATTGGGGCTTGATCCCATGACCTTGAGATCATGACCTAAACTGAAATCAAATGTTGGATGGTTAACTGACTGAACCACCCAGGTACCCCCTGAAGTGCATTTTAAAAGGGCATTGGGTAGAGCTTAAATAAAAAACTACATATATACACATGTAAAATCCTATACTAAAAATAAATTAAATCCCTTCTAGAAGGTATAGAAAGTAAAATAAAATGTATTAGCCTTTGAGCTCCCTAGTTCTATAGATCTGGGGTGCATTACAAGTTTGGTGTTTCTTTTTTTTTATTATTGGAGTTCAATTTACCAACATACAGCATAACATCCGTGTTCATCCAGTATTTGTGTTTCTAAAAAACTTTATAGGTGATTCTAATATGAGGTGAGAGTGGATGTGAAGGTCAGGAAAAGCAATGTATCATGTGCCTAGCACTTGTAGTTGTTCAATAAATAGCACTAGGTAACACAACCTGTGCAATACTCTTGCCAAAAATGCTTAACCTTATTTTAATCACAAGGAAACTGACAAACCCAAATTTAGGGCCATTCTGCAAAACAATTGATCTGGATTCTCTAAAAATTTCAGTGTCAGGGAAAAAGAAGAAGACAATGAAGGGGGAATGGAGGAAGAAGAAAGGAGGGATCATGAATGAGAATGAGGGAGAGAGAGAAGAAGGAAGAAGGAAGTGAGGGAAAAAAGAGAATAAAGAAATAGATAGGGAAGGTTATGCAATACACAATCCTAGATTGGATCCTGGGTCTATAAAATAAAAGACAAACATGCAAACAAGAAGCTATAGAAAGCATTATTTGGGACAACCATGAATATTAGAATGTGAACCATATATTAGAAAACAGTAATATATCAATGTTAAATGTCCTTAGTGTAATAATTGTATTATGGTTATGTAGGAAAAGCTCCCTTGCTGTTGGATTTGTGGTGGTGTATTTGGGAGGATGTAACTGCAATTAATTCTCAAATAGCTCAGCTGAAAAGCTCGCATGTATACATGCACGTATAAAATGAAAGCAATATTGTGACATAATGTTGTTAATGAGTTGGGATATATAGATATGAATTGTATTATTCTTGTAACTTTCAGAAGATTAAAAAATTTAAACAACAAAAAAGTTATTAATGTACAGAGCTTTATATACACAAAGTTAATATATATTCTATATGCATATATATGAGTTTATATATATATATATAATATATGTGTATATATATTATCTATGTGTATATATAATACATACACCTATAAACTCATGAGTTTTTATGTGTGTGTACATATATACATGTATATATATATATACACATAAACACATAAAAACTCATATGTGTGTGTGTGTATATATATATATATATATATATATACATTTCTAAAGAACACCAAGCAGATTATCCTTTTTTCATAAACATCTAGGTACTTAATAAACAAATAAATCATTGTTAAGGGAAAAAATTAATTAAACTTTAAATTTTTGTAGGAAATTTACAGAATGAAGATTTTGGGGAATATCAAGCAATGAATAATTACTGTCCCCGGAAAATTGGCAAAATGGAAACATGGCTTCATGAACAAGAGGCTCAGGGACAGCTTCTCTGGGACAGCTCCAGCTCTGACTCAGAGGAGTTGAAGAAAAGTGAGAAGAAACCACAAGCACTGGTGAGGACCAGGACAGAGAGAATCCCACTTTTTGATGAGTTTTTTGATTGAGAATAAAAATACTATTCACTAACATAGAAACTGAGTGCATTGAGAACTTCTTTTCTCCTTTCTCCCCTCCCCCCCAAAAAAAAGAAAGAAAACTTCCTTTCCCATAACAATTCTTCAGGTTAGTTGTATGAATTATTTGGAGGATATCAATTCATTGTCTTTTCATTTGGAGTCTTACAGTTAACAGTTTTGTTATCTATTATTAACTATGCTGCCTAATTGCCTCAGAACTTAGGGCATTTGATTGTCCCTCATTACTGTGGTCTGTGAGGCTCAGCTGGGTGGTTCTTCTGCTGGCCTCTTGTCAGATTTTTTATGTAGTTGAAGTCAGATGGCAGCTAGACTGGAATCATCTGGAAGTTCAACCAGGATACTGAGGTAGCTGGACCTCACCTCTTCCCCATGTAGTCTCAGAGTCTCTTTACATGGTTTTTCCTAGTGGTCTCTCCATCAGAGTAATGAATTTACTTTTATATCAGCCCAGGACTCCCCATAGCAAGTGTTCCAAGACAAGGAAGTGGACCTGCCAGTCCTCTTAAAGCCTCAAAATGAAAGGGCGCCCCACCACCCTCACCAAATCCTATTGGTTAAAGCAAGTCACAGGCCAGGTCACTGCCCATGAAAGAGAGGTCCACACAGGGTGCAAATTCCAAAGCATGGTCTGTTGGGGTTCATCTTTGACACTTGCCACCATACTATACTTTTAAAAAGCAAATTAGATCTTATAAAACAAATAGATAGGAGAGTAGATTTGATACAAATAAAAATGAGGTTTTAAAGAAAAGTCACAGTAATGCTACATTAGACATCAAGCTCACAGATGTCACTTCTTGGGAGTTAGCAGCTTGTTATAACAGAGAAGTGCAGCAAAGTTGTGAAATAATGTCAAGGGTGGAAGGTCATTGAGAAAGAAATTTCAAAAGTAAATAAAGATATCATAGATTATGATGTAGATCTTAGGACTCTTTGACACTAAAAGGAATCTTAGAAATGTTCAGTCCAAAAGTTACTCTATAAACAAAACTCAGATTTTTTTAGGGAATCTTGAGCTTTTTTTCTGTAAAACGAAGCTCCACTTTTAGTGTAATCTAAAAATACACTTAAGCCATTCAGAAGCTTCTAAGAATTTAAACTTTGAAACAAAACAAAACAAAAACATTCTTTTAAAGCCTTCTCTAGACAAATGTTGGTAAGGATGCAGAGAAAGGGGACCCCTCTTACACTGTTGGTGGGAATGCAAGCTGGTGCAGCCACTGTGGAAAACAGTGTGGAAGTTCCTCAAGAAGTTAATAGAGCTGCCTGCCCAATGACCTACTGGATATTTACCCCAAAGATACATGTAGTCAAACGATGAGACACCTACACCCCAATGTTCATAGCAGCAATGTCCACAATAGCCAAACTGTGGAAGGAGCCACAATCCTTTGCTAGATGAATGGATAAAGAGGATGCAATACATATAATTATTATATTATTATATATATTCACAATGAAATAGTATTCAGCTATCAGAAAGGATGAATACCTACATTTATATCGATGTGGATGGAATTGGAGGGTATTATGCTGAGTGAAATAAGTCTGTCAGAGAAAGAGAATTATCATATGGTTTTACTCATATGTAGAATATAAGAAATAGTGAAAGAGACCATAAGGGAAAGGGGGGAAACTGAGTGGGGAAAAATTAAAGAGGAAGGCAAACCATGAGAGACTCCTAACTCTGGGAAACAAAGGGTTGCCGAAGAGGAGATGAGTGGGGGGATGGGGTAACTGGGTGATGGGCATTAAGGAAACCACTTGATGGGATAAGCACTGGGTGTTATACTATATGTTGTCAAATTGAATTTAAATAAAAATTTAAAAATTAAATTAAAAAAATAAAGCCGTTTCTAGGAAACTTCTAGAAAAAATTTAGGGGAGCACCACCCAAATTTGACATTCGCTGCATTCAGATCAGTCACTAAGAAGCCTGTTGTATCAGGGGACAAATATTCATGTTCTTGTGAGGACAAAAGGCAATTAGGTCATCCCTGGACATTTCTCCTCCCACTTCTACTTTTCTGTGGTCAGTGAGAAGTGTACTTCCTGCAAAGGAATATACAAAAGTTGTTTGACCAGCCAGCCCTCTTGAAAAAGTAAGATCTCTGAGAGGAGAAACAAGTCCAACCTATTGATAATATTCTCACACATTATGGTTTATCTTGAAGGCTTAAAACGAATGCTGAAGATAGCAGAGCCTAAGCATATCTTCTTCATCGCTTTGGGCTGTGACTTGTAATTGGGCGACACCCCTTCTATAAGCTCCCTGGACTGCGAGCTACATTGGGCATGGACCACATCTCCTCCCTGTGGCATCCCCACTTCCTGGCACGACATCTGGCCCAGAGTTTATTATTAAATGTTTGCTGAATTCATTAATTTCTGTGTTGAGTTAACTAGGCAATTAGAGAGGTACTTGTTTCTCTCCAGCTATGCAGTTGTTCATTATTTCCATCATTTCCCAAGACTCACAGATACACAGGTTGATTATACAGTTAAAAAAAATTTTCAAAAGCTTTTGGAAATTTATACATCTAAATGGAGGGCATAAATTAAGTATCGCCTTGGGATATTGGAGCTAGATGCATATGCCAGTGAGGATGTCACAGCTCAAAATATTTTTCGAGCCTCTATCAGAGGAATGCCTTCTCTGAGTTTATTTGCCTGCTCCATGTGGAGCTCCCCCTCATTTCATTATAAATTCAAGAATTTGAAATAATAATAATAAAGGTGATAGTAATAACTGCTCATGTGCATTGATTGCTTATTGTGGCAGGTGCTCCTCAAATGCTTTACGTTGGTAGTCCTCACAACTTTGTGCATCAGTATTAACACCATCCCCATTTTACAGATGAGGAAACCAAGGCACAGAGAGGTTAAGTAACTTTCCAGAGTCACCCTGCAGAACTGCCCTTTGGAGGAGTAGACTGTTGCTGACCAGGAGGGACCTGATGGGAGCCAGGAGCTCCTTCCTCCTCTCCTCAATTTTATCTCGAACTCACCAGCTGCATCATGTGGCATTCCACATTTTTTTTTCTATTATGTAGTGGATTTTTTGGTTTCTAGGGGGTTTTGTTGTTTGATTTTGAGAGGGATAACACTACACTGAAAAGGATGAGGGTTCTGTGGGATTAATCTTTAGCAAGGAAGACTTTCCTAGGAGCCTGATAGCTTCACTGTGGGCACAGGGTAGGTTAAGAACACCTGAGAAATAGCTCAGGAGAGAAAGTTTCCAAGAATGGGGAGATGGGCACACAAGAACAGATGAAAGAGCCAAGATAAACTTACTTTCTTCACTGTTTGGCCAGGGATCAGGATCATGAGCAACCCTACCAGATGCCCCACCCTGTGCATTCAGTTGCACCCTGTGGCAGGGCTGGAGGCAGTACTTCTCAATACAGCCACAGATTAGAACACCTGACAAATAACCACTAAACTAACAGCCATTAGGATTAATGGGCCCACCTTCCCATTTACCTGGGCTGGGGTAGAACTCTGGCATTGGGTTGGTGTTTCCTTAAGTTCCCAAAGAGGTAAAAAGATCTGTACTCTGAAAACTATGAAACTTATTAAACAAATTGAAGAGGACATAAATGGACAAACAGGATGTCTGGGTGGCTCAGTCAGTTAAGCGGCTACCTTTGGCTCAGGTCATGATCTCGGGGTCCTGGGTCCTGGGATTGAGTCCTGCATTGGGGTCCCCTCTAAGCAGGGAGTCTGCTTCTCCCTCTGCCCTGCCCCCTGCTCATGCTCTCTCTCTTTCTCTCTCAAATAAATAAATAAAATCAAAAGAAAGAAAGAAGAAGAAGAAAGAAGAAAGAAAGAAAGAAAGAAAGAAAGAAGAAAGAAAGAAAGAAAGAAAGAAAGAAAGAAAGAAAGAAAGAAAGAAAGAAAGAAAGAAAGAAAAATGGAAAAACATTCCATGCTCATGGATTGGAAGACCAAACCCTGTGAAAATGTCTATACGATCCAAAGCAATCTATACATTCAATGCAATCCTTATCAAAATACCACCTTTTTGAGTTCCCAGGTGAAGAAGCTAAGGTGCAACTAAGGTTGAAAACCAGAGCTTCAGCAGTACAAACATTCTATTTTACCAGATACATCTTCTATCTTTAAAAGTGACAACTTCTGAGGTAATTTTTCAAAGGTAAGGACATGAAGCCTGGAGCTCCACAAGCAGTAAGAGAATGTTCATTTTGTTGGTGATTGTCTGAGAATACCAGTCCTTTACTTAATCTTGAATTTGTTTGAGGGCTACATAGGGCCATCAGTAAACACAGCTGTTGCTGGTGAAAACTATAAAATTCAGCCTGGAGGCAAAGTTGTCAATTTTATTCAACTGAAAATCTCCTGCTTTGTGGTGTGTGGGGGGGGAGCTTATCTATGTCCTAATGCATGGTTTCTCTTGTGAAAATAATGTCCTTCTTGCTCTGAATTTTTATGAGAAAGAGGAAGGTCTTTTTCTGGCATTCTTTTGGAAATGTTCTTTTTTTTCCAAATTTTTTTTCAGGTAGGAGGCCATCTTTCCTCATCTGTCTATTGGATGATAATTCTGGACTACCATGCTGGGGTTTAACTAAAGATGGCTCTTGCTGGCATCATCTATCAAATAATCATGTAAACAAACAGATACGGTTTTCTGCTTGTTCAGAGCCTTTTAAAGACAAAACAAAACACCAGCTCTCCAAGCCACTTCCTATCTTTCCAGGACAGCATACCTATCATCAAATCATAATTCATATCAAATATTTTCTGCCTTGAATGAATAACAAAAGCCTATTTCCACCTGACTGACTGGCAGGGATAATGTCAGTCATCCATTCTGACAGTCAGTCAGAAAGGTCATCAGAGCCCAGATGAAGGGAAGCCCAGAGGACCTCA